GGCGCTGCCCGCCGCGCAGCCCCTGCGTGGGTGCGGGCGCCGCGGGCTCCCCGCCAGCACTGCCTGGCTACCAGGGTGCCGAGGGAGCGGGATAACTGGAGATACATATCATTAGGCAGCGAGATGGAGCATACTTCTTCCCTCGAACCAAGAAGCGCTTTGGTTTACAAACACACATGGGCACAGACCCTGTAAATACAGTTCATTTTTAATTTGGACGTTGATAGCTCTGCAAAATACTTCTTCCAGTCCCTTTTCCATATTCCATCCATAAATATACTAATTCTTCAGCCAACATAGTTTAAAAAAAAAAAACCAAACAAACACAACCTTTTCAAAAGACTCAAATATCCAGTTTCTTACTTCCTCTCCCCAGAATCTCACCTAGTTAATCTTTCACCACAATGCAACATACTTAACAGCTCTTTGTAGCTTATCAAACAATTTAAAGAAAAACAAAATCAAAACCAAGGCTTTAGAGAAGGAAAGTTCTGAAAACAGAGAGCCCCTTCAAACCTTTCAGCTGTTACAACTGGTGGTTTGGCTTCAAGACCTGCTACGAATCCATGGCATGCGTCTTACAAAGAGGCATCGATCTGGTGATTTTGGGTTTCAGCTGAAATATGCTTCAAGCTGGTTGGAATGAGACGAGCAGAGGGAGAGCGAAAGGACTCCTTCCCCACCCCTCTCTCAAAATATCAAGTCTCAGTGGCTCAGAGAAAAACTTTAGGAGAATTTTTGGGACAGATATACATATTAAATACCCCAGGACCCTTCCTAACCCAGTTTCTACAACTGACCACAGTAGTACTTCAACTAAAACAACGCTAACAATCTGACTGTAACACTGGCATTGTGACAATCCTGGGGAGCAAAGGAGACTGGTGTCACCACCAATATTGCACACAGCTCCAGAGACATGTAAACAATCCACGGCATAAGAGCATCTACATTTGCAAAGCAGTCTTTTGGAACTGTCTTGGAAAAGACTAGTCCCTTCACTTCTTTAAAGCAGAAGAGCACCATCAGTTTTAGTCTCTAAAACCAGGACATCTCCCAGTACCACTCAGTAAGAAACATCTCACCTTCCCTCACCTCCAAAGGGTACTAGTTTCTCTGAGGGGAACAGAGTAAAAAAGGGAATCTTTGTTTCTAAACTACTCTCTTCCCAGCTGTTCTGCCCTCACGTTGGCCCTAGAGAAAGCCCCTCTTCCCTCCACCTCCTCTGGAATCGCTCTCCTACTTGCCTTTGAGCTGCTCTACAAATCTACCAGCAATGACCAACACAACAGCACGCGCTTCCTTCATCGCTAACACGGCAGGCGGCTTCCCAGCCTGCAGAAAGGCCACGTATCCTGCCTTCGTGCGTAAGCAGGTCTCTCTCCATTTGTTCTGGGGAAAGGATTCATCTGCAACAAACAGCACGCAAAAGGAGGGTGCTTTCAATACTGCATCATCTGGTGAGACCAGCCCGGCCACTTCTCCAACAATGCAAGATCCCAATTTGGAATATAGGAAACGGGCTCACTGAGACCTGAATACTTTCTTGTTAAGGCTTAAACTAGAAATTCAGCTGCTGCAATATACCAGACAGACACGCCGCAAAAAGGAAGAAAGTTAGTTAACAGAAGAACCAAACAACCTTAGCACTATAGGTATGCAGAGGGCTTTGCTTTCCTCTCACAGGCAGCAAACCAATTCTCATAACTCGCCTGGTTGGTGCATAACACAAGCCTGCATTAAGGGGGTTGTTTTTAACAGCCAAAAAAAATGCAAACTAAACTCTCACAAAAGCCCTGCAGGTGTGACTGTCACATTAAATATACAACTGAGGCCAACTTTTAAAATGCCTTTAAAAAAACCGCACGCGCATACACACACACACACACTTTGGCACACAAGCCTTAAGTTATATCACTTGAAACATTTCAAAGTCAGAGGAGAGCTACTTTTTTTGTTTTTTGTTTTTTTAACCTTTTTTGCCTTGTAAAAAGGTATCAAGCAGTGGTGTTGGTGTAGCATGAAGGGTTAAGTACAAATGCTGAACAGTTCTAGAACTGTCTGCAATGCTGTTCAACACTTATACTCCAATTACTTTCCCAAAGCGCTAGCTGATTACATACACATATATAAAAACTAATGTAGACATTCCCTGTTTTCAATGTGAAAACAGGGAAATGTAATCGAGTAATTGTGCATTTGCCATAGGGTCCTTGGGAAAAGGAACCATAAAAATATTTTATTTTTTATTAAAAGTCTTTTTTTTTTTTTCCACCCTTAACTTAAGTAAAGAGCAAATATACACCTATAAGCAGAGTTCAGATCCACTTTACTGAGAGCCTGGAAGTCCATATATCAAATTAATTCCCAATGGCATATCAAGACACCGGAACAGTTCCCAGCTCCAAAGGGCCAGCGTTCCTGAAAGATCTGCAGCTCTGGCTAATCTCGTTAGCCAGTGTGAAGCAAAGATTCATTCAAGCCTCATCTGTCTCAGCCACCACTCCCCCAACAGACTCTGCAGCTGAGCAGTGCTCTGCTAAGCAGAGCCTCACCAATACGGGACCGTGCCTGGCTCTGGGAGCATCAGAGCTGGCAATCTAGGCAACAAACCTCAGTCCTGGCAATTTCAACCCATATCAGGCTGTAACAATGAAATTATAAGCACCAAACTTATATTTTCTCATTACTCAGAGGAAGGACCACTGATTCCAGCTACTGAGAAATAGCTTCCAGAGGAGGGCCAGGAAGAATTTCAGTGATAGAGAAACTAGCTGTGCAATAAGAAAGTGCATTTAAAGGTAGCTTAAAACCAGATTAAAGACCAAATCGCCACTCGACAGGAGGGAGAATCAAGCTCCAGCAGCCACACTCCTTGGGCTGGATGGGTTAACATTCAGGCTCTCTCTTGCAAGTCCGAGGGGCAGGAGAGAAGCGTGCACTCCCATGCTCCGACAGGGACACGGTTCTCCTGGCAGGCCATGCTCTCCTGCCCGGTTTGCTTCTGTGCAGTATCAGTTCTGGACAGCTGTCATCGAAATTCATAGATAGGAGCACTGTGCTCAGGAACGTGAGTTAAATTCAATGACTGATACCTGGGAGAGAGGAAAAAGATGGGAAAGCATTACATAAAACAGGCCATTCTGTGTGTGAGGCCTCCCCTAGGATTAATACCTCCTCTCTGACAGGTTACAGACATCCAGATGCCTGGCTTTTCAGTTACCCTTTAGGGTCAAAGTCTCAAAGGCGTTTAGGCACCTAGCACCCATTTACCAATGGTGCCAAAACCCTATGAGGGCTCAGTCTTGCTTCACATTTCCATTCCCATGCCTTTGAGCTACCTGCAGCCAGACTGTATTTGAGGTAGGCTGACTATGGTTTTAGGTTTAAGGTATGGTTGAACAACTTTCATGTTCAAAAGGTGTTTGGTACAGCTGAAAACCTTGCTCAGGTCTTTCAAAGCTTAGCTCAAGCAGTTTTGTCTGAGAGCCTTCCAGGTACCTTCCCTCCCTCCGAGAGCTTCCAGACACCCTACAGATTTTGCTTGCTGTGTGACAAATCCCATTTTTGTTTACTCAACTCAGAGGGAGGAGAGCTCTCCAGAGCTACTTGTCAGGTGGCTGCAAAAAGAAACCAAATCAATTAAATTTGACTGTTCCCTGTGCCTTGCAGCAACACTCTGAGGACCTTGGACTACAAAGTACTGGCCTAACAAGATTCCTGCCTACAGGGAGCAGCAGCAGAGCTGTTACAAGCAAGTCAGCACAGAGCTCCTCCTCAAAGGCTCCTCTGATACCCTCTGAAGGGATGCTGGCCCAGGCATGGAGAAGCTCAAAGCCTGAATCAACTGAGCAAAGTGCAAACCGATGGAGTCCAACCCTGCACATGAGACCAGGCCGCCTCACACTTGGCTGTCCCCATGGAAAAGCAGGAACAGGCAGGCTCTATCATCAGCGTTTGGCTCAGAGACCAGGGTTCAGCATACTTTTAGTGAACCACAGCTGGCATCTGCCTCCCAGTGCACCTCTCAGACGCACCAGCCCTTACTTTGACAGACCACAGCACATCTCCAGTCCTTGCAGCTCCTCTGCACTACATTGCCAGCCTGATCGCCACCAGTCGTGCAAACAGGCAGCGTTTTATACCATACAAAGGGGCTGCGCTGGCCAAACGCAACACAGGCGTCCTCCCTCCCCACCCAGGCTTAAGCTGCCAGACTGAAACTTTTCCCCAACCTAGAGAAGTGCTGCGCGGACTCTCCCAGGGCTGCAGACTAGCAGAAGAGTCATTGCTGGTTTGAGGAATCACCCTTCAGGCTGCGCAAGGAAGGAAGCTTCCTTACCATTCTGAACTCCTATGGTAGTAATAGCCCTCTATAGACGCTGCTGACTTCTGGAAACAGATGTAGTAGAAACCAGCAAAGGAAGCACCACTGATGTCTTTGATAGTGTGATCTGGGACTAGGAACTGTTCCTGCACACAAAACACAGACTGCATGAACATGTTGGTCAAACACTTCCCCCCACCCAACCTCCTGCAATCAGCCCTCCCAGACTGAGTATTAGCACACGTTAAAATAAAGGAGCTCCTGGCTGAGCATTCCCTGCACTTGTAGCAGCCCAGACCACAGACAGCAGCACATTCTTTCACCACCTGGCACTGTAGGCATCTTACAGGAAAAGAGACAACTCAGAACAGAACCGGTGTGAAAGAACACACAGGATCAGTTTCAGTTCAACACCTGCTCCTTCCAAAGCAAAGGCCAATTGCAAAATCAGAAATCAGAGCTGCCTGATGATTTCCTCCCCTTGCAGCTGCACAAGGCTCATGTAAAGGAGGAAGAATTGATGCAGCTGAAGAGCAGAGAATCAGACTGGCCAGTCTGCATCAAAAGCACAGGCCCAGCACAGGGACTAGAGACATCAATTCTCTCATCCTTTGTAGCATCACCAAGCAAGATTTTCCTGTTGTGTTTTTAGGCATGACCGCAGCCCTTAAGGATGCAATTAGCTGGCTAGACAGGAGTCACAGTGGGATTGGTAAGCACAGTAGGTCACAAGGTTTGTAGGATGAGATCTTTCATTAAATCAGCAGCAGTAGTTGAAAGAGACAAGCTTTCAGGGACAGTCAGTCACTTGTAAGCAGCTCGTCAGGGACGGAGACGCATCGAGCTTACCTTCCATCTCATGAAGACATAGTCACCATTTTTCAGATCCTCATAATCAAAGTCATCAGAGTTAAATGTTTTTGCATACTGGTAAAAAGCCTGGAACTTTCCCTAAAACAACAGGGAGGGGGGTGGAAAAAAAAGAGACAAGATGCTTATTCCAGGAGTAGAGCTCACTAGTACCGGCTACTGTTTAGGAGGGAAGAACTGCTACAGAACAGGACTTCTGCTCCAAGGGAGCTGCTGTTTCCTTGGAGCACTGCTAAACACACACTCCAGGACAAGCACTGGGGAACACAGAGCATTGCCAGACATCCACAACCATATCTGGCCCTGCTGAAGAAGCCCCTACACTTCCAGGGCAAGTTATTTTGATAGAACAGTAATAAACATCAAAATCTGGCAAACAACAGCAAAGATCAAGACAAACAGCCGGCTCCTGCGGCCCTGACCCAGGGCACAACGGTAGACGTGTTATCCAGAAAAAAGGGCTGAAGTAGCCGGTACCTCGGCTGAGACACAGGCAGCAACTACCCTACCCCTGTGTCAGATGGGCACCTCTTCCCTTCTCTTTTTGTTACAAGGCTTCAAAGTAGGCAGGGCATTCTCCTGCGGGGGAGCAAGAGATGGGAATCAGTCCTGCTCCCTTCCAGCCCCAAGCCCATGACCTGGAAAGAAAGACACCCTCATCCTTTCTCAGAGATCACAGCCAGCAGCCTGCCAAAGAAACCTCTAGTTGCAAAGATCCCAGCCAGGGGAAGGAGGAAAGAAGAGGCTCCCAAAGGAGAGCTTTCCAGGGCTTTCGCAGACCTCTCGCACGGGCATGCTCTGCACTGCACTTCTAAACCAGCTGCTCAGCCAGGAACGCACTAGATCTACACCTGCCTCTCCCCCACCCCAACTTATTTACCCAGTGTTTACGATCCACATCTTCATCGGCATCCCACTTGCGCGTTAGGAAAGGGTGCTTTTTACTGATTATTTCCCCTTCAAAGAAAGTGGTGAGGGTTGGGTACTCCTAGGAAAGTGGAGAGACAGAAGAGAGAGTTAAGATGTTACCTAAACTCACACAGATAAAGGTGCACAGACTGAGCAAAAAATCAGCATCTCGCAGCAAGACCTTGAGGCAATCTGAGGCTGGTACACCTTTTAAAATCTGACTCGTACACGCACACCCTCCACCCTTTTACTCCAGTCGTCTTTTCACACGCCCCCCACCCCCTTCACTTCATAAAATTAGAGGGAGCCATGTTAGAGCTGGACAGCTGGGAAACTCGTCTGGACGATCAGAAGTGACCATTTGGAGGTAGCACTGCTCCTGAGCTGAAACATGACAGCTAGCCGTGTGTTTGCTACAAACACAAAGTACAAAGGCTAGATTAAGCCACCTCAAAGAGGAAGAGAAGGTGCCCCGAGTAAGCTCTTTAGCTTTGCATTTGCAATGAATTAGGGGTTTGCACACAGGAATACCAGGCTCAGTTGAGGGAAGCTAACTTCTCCAAGCACTTAGCGGTAACTGTCTGTGCAGACACATAGTGCACTGCAGCTGAGAGAGTCTGGACTTGGAAAGACAGTCAGTATGAGAACCCGCATAAGATAATGCTCACAATGTCCAACACCATAAGGAGATCTTAGTGGATGGGCATGGAAGGAAGGACTTAAAGATCTGACTTGTTTGTTTTATTTTCTTTTAGCAACACACCACCACTGGTAGAGTATCTAAAGCTGACTTCAAGGTCAGATTCCTGTTCCACTCAGAGCTCAAGAGACACCAGATAAGCCTCCTGCATTCTCTCAGGACTCCCAGCGAGGCCCCTGATACTAGCTTTACACTCCAAGAACAACAGATTGAAGCTATTAGACTACCTAGTGGTCAAATTTACCGTATACTTGATCCCTCCATCCTCTATTTCTGGTGGCAACTTCTCCCCCTACCAGGAAAAAGGAAAGCCTTTAAACAACACCTTTTCTTATGGTTTTGCAATAAACACTCACCTCTGTAAGGCCTTTAATCTTCAAGTATCCACAGAGATAGGAGTTTTCCATATCCACATGCTAGAAGAGAGTGCAAAGTCCTAACATAAGCATGTGCATGAAGGCACCCAATGGATCCAAAACAGTTTCTAAACCTGTGGTCCTCCAACACTCAATTCTGCTTAAACTGGTACTGACTGTCCAGCTTACTGCACAATGTTCACACTGACATCCCCTTTCCCAAGGCTGGAAACAACTTGGACAGATCCTTTTAGAAGTGCCCAGCTCACTTCTGACAGCCTCCACGTCCCAGGCCTGACGACACCTCACCCACTTTCAGCTTCTTCAAACTGAGGCAGCATCTTCTGTCTGGAGGTCTCCAGAGGGAGTAAATCCCCCTTCTCTACCAAGAAGGAACTTGACTCCCAGTTTTCTCAAAGGGAGAGAGTATCACTGGCAGAATCTCTAACACACCCAGCCCTCACCTACCCCAGCCAAACCAGCAACCAAGAGGGGGAAGGGCAAAAAGCATATTTTTACCCAAGACAATTCAGGCTAGAGGAAGAAAGCATCACCCTGAACTTTCCAGTCCACCTATTTAACAGGCCTGAGCCACCTCCTCTCTAACACGCTAGTCTGTACGCTCAGCCTAGTACCCAGGACTGGTGTGCCCCGTCACACACCAAAGCCTGTTCAAAACAGATGTCTCGTGTGTTTTGAAGAGGCCCTTCTCCCAGATCTAACGCTTTCATGTCACCCTTCTTTGAGTTACTTGGCTGCATCTTGCCTCTTCTGCTATGCAGAAACTAGGTAGGGGGCTGCTTCTATTCTGAATGCCTTTAAAGTAAGAAGACTTTCCAAGTTTTTCCCCCCCAACATCTCCAGATGAGTTTTCAAAGCAAGAACTGAGCTATTTTGGGAAGTGTACACATCAGCTATAAGAAGATGGATCTTCCCCACCTGTGATCAAAGAGAAGCAACATTTTCCTGTACTCAGCAGGGGAAGAGCAGATAGCCACCTCTTCTCAGCTGACACGCGCAAAACAGTAGCAATTTTAGCACAAAGCTATAGCCAGTCTCTGGAACAAGGCAGCGTGCAGTGAAGCTGATCAGCCATGGGATGTCTCTACAAGAGCAAGCTGCACCAGGGACACTTGTGCTGTTGACAAGCGGGGGACCATATGTGAAAAGAGACAGTATGGATAAAATGCTACCCCATCTGTTGACCTTGGGACTCTCACGTTACTCCACAACACTGACCCATGCATCAGTCTTTATCACTGCACTTGTTACAAGCTGCCAGGGTCCCACAGATCCTATGCCACCAAGTTGGGAACAAAGCCGTGACCTGCAGAGCACTTTATAGGAAAGCGTGCACCATATGTCTGGCTTGCCTATTTATTAGTAACCCCACACCTCGCCAGCTCTACCTTAAGCAATCATACCAATGTCTAGGACTAAAATTAAAGCACAGGAGGAGACCAAGACCGCAAAAAGGAAAGGGAAAGCTATACCAGCCAGTGCCCTGATTCCCCAGCACACCTGGGTCCAGGCACGTTCCCACTAGAAACAAACCACTGTGCTTTGCCTCAGGCTCCCTGCTCAGCCTGGGATCCTGGGGAAGCATAGGGCACCACAAGGAGGGATCCTTGGGATCTCAGGTCCAGCAGAGCCCTGCTCTGCTAGCCAGGACCTGGATCCCTACTGCTTTCCAGCCAGGCCTGAAATACAGGCTGCCTCGCTGGTATTGACTCCTTGGGACACCACCCACTTTAAGCCAGCCTTTTGCCTATCCTCCCTGGGGCCCAGGGGAGCAGGGCCAGCCCAGGGCTTGAGGGCAATGGGGGAGACATCCAGGATCACAGACCTCAGCAGAGCTGAGGGCAATAGGGCAAGGGAGTGAAGCGAACAGACCCAAGGAAAATGAGGCCACAGTGGTGGGAGGTGGAGCAGAAGAAACAGGCCTGAGGGTAACAGGGCAAAAAGGGGGAGGGGGGGAAGAAACAGGCCTGAGGGGAAAAAGGGAA